CAATCAAGCCAATGTCAGGAATGTGTGATTTTCTGCAGACCATATACCAGAGTGATTCCTGATCAGTTCAAAGGTAGATATGTTTAAAATCAGAAAATAAAAATATTATTACATTATATATAAAAAAATATATTATTTTGTATATAGATATTTTATATATAATAAAAACATTATATATTAAAATATTTTTATATATATGTATACATACACATATCAAATCCTTCAAGTATAACTCCTGAGCTTTAAAGCAACAGGGAAAGAATCATAAAGGAACAGATTCTTTCCTGACAATATAAAAATGTAAAACTTCTACAAGAAAACAAACAACCAGAACAGAATTGCAAACAATAGATTAGAATGTTCATTATGACTAAAATCAGGGCTAATGTTTAAGTTATACAGAGAACTCCTTTGCATGTGAAAGATGATGCTGAAACTCCAGTAAATGAGCAAAGGACTTGATCCTTCCCACAAGGAAAACATGATAGGAAATGTATGGAAAAAATTCATTCTTGCGAATAAACAAATTCAGATGAAAGCATCTCTGAAGTACCAGGTTAGCAAAGTGATTTTCTTTTCAAAATAAACACACCCAATACCCAAACACGCTCACAGTGAGAAGGGCACGCTCCTCCACGGATAACTGCCGCTGTGAACCGGACGGCCGGCGTTCCTGCGTCACTGCCTTGCACTCACGTCTCAGCCAAAACGTTTCAGATGCTTTGCCCCGTATTTTAGTCTGCGTGGGCCGCCATAACAACGTGTGACAGACTGGGCAACTTCAACAACAGAAGTTTATTTTTCCGAAATTCCAGAGACCCGGAGTCCAAGGTCAGGGTGTCGGCGGAATTGATTTCCTTGGCTTGGAGATGTCTGCCTTCTCCCTGTGTCCTCACGTATGCCTCTTGGCTTATATGTGTGTTCTCTTCTTGTAAAGACACCAGTCCATTTGGATTAGGACTCATTAAACCTATTTACCCCTTTAAAGTCCCTGTCTCCAAATAGAGTCACATTCTGATGTATAAGGAGTTAGGACTTCAACATACGAATCTGAGGGGCAATACGCTTCATCCCAGAAGACCCCAGTTACACCTCTCCTAATAGTCTATCCTAAGGAGAGAATTCAAATAAAGAAAGTGTATGTGTAAGACATTCACTTGTAGTGTTTCAATAATATTAAACAATTAAAAACCACTATTTATAGCAGGAGAAGTTAAATAACTACTTTGCAGCCATTAAACTTTTTCAGAATGAAAACTGTATAAAAATATTTTTAAAAATTCTCAACATATAACAAGAAAAGTAGGATAAAAATATCATATGATTGATTGTGGGGAAATATCTGCATTTGGATAGTTACTGGAGCGAAAGGGAGGCTAAAATAACTTCCTTACGGTGATCCAGTATAGGTGCCCTCTTTCTTTTTTAAAACTATTATTTCCATTTTTTTCTTTTTATTTCAAAAAGAAAAATAAAGTAGATTGGAATGGGTAATTCTAGCTGCTTAAGACAGCGCCAGGCTTCTGTGGTCGGTAGCACCAGAGTTTTAGTGCCTTAAGGTAGAATTTATTCAAAAACAAGAAAAATGAAGACAAACTGAGGCTTAACAAATCAGTCCAGCATCTGAGCAACGTGGGGACGATGCCAGGCCCTGTGAGGTGCAGAGCAGGACTCAGGCTGGCCTTGGAGCCCCTGAAGCGGGCGACTTAGTGTGTGGAGAGGAGTGGTCTTGGCTGCCTGTGACCTGGGCAGTCCCCTTCCCTGACCCTCAGGCTCCTCTTCTTTAAAGTGCAGTTGTTGGGATGGGTCCTTTAAAAAGGCCGTCTCTTGCTTTCTGTGTTCTTTCATTTTCTGTTGTGCCCCAAATATGCACAGCATAATTGTCTATACAGTGTTTTCCTTGCACTTGACAATTATTAAGTGTACTCTGGCCATTCTGTGCATCTTGCAAAGAGCTAGAATCAGATAGAAAAGTCAGAAAAAGGAAATAACATGAAGTCAGCCATTCCATTTTCCCAGCATTTGATCACAAGAAGCTAAACCAACATTTCCCTCCATGCCTCTCCCTGGCCGCTGCCCAGGCTCGGTGGAGGTCAGCGACCTCTGACTCTGCCTCTCCTTAGGGAGCCTCTGAGCCGGCCGGGGCCACAGGAGAAACATCGTATTTCACTCTCGTGACTTGAGCCTTAGGCTTTGTCAGCGGGGAGAGTAAACAGAGCGCTTTTGAAGGGTGGACACCCGCCCTGTCCCTGCCCCGGGACACGGCCAGCTGTCCGGAAGGCTGGGCTTCCCCCATCCAGTGGGAAACCAATTTGAAGGATGTCACTGCTCTGGAGAGAAACAAACAGAAGAGGGGAATCAGAGGAGCAGCAGCCGCTGGCATTGACTGAACCCCCGTCTCTTCCTCGAGCCGGAAAAATCCATCACTCCCTTTCCAGGAGTCTTTCAGACCCCCAAAGGAAGGGTTAGTGAGTAAACAGAAAGAATAATAAAGGTGTCTGAGCCTTGAAGACTTATTCAGGGCAACAAAGAAAGTACTCCCCTGCAGTGCTTGTGTTCTGAGCCTTTTTTCCGTGTATTTTATCAAACATTTGCCCACAGCATCCTGACCCACTCTGTCCCCTCCTGGAGGGTTAGGTGGAAGGAGCCTTTAATGTTAAGAGTGTACAAAAATAACAACATGCATGGTAGCTTCCGTGTGTTTGGGGGGGGGCGTGTGTGTGCGCACACGGGCATGTCTGGAGACAGCAGTGTACAGTGAAATGATGCGAACTTTGGGGTTGCTCATTCATTCACATACTCATTCCGCAAATCCTGCTGAGCGTGTAACACGAGGCCCACACTGTTCTGGGCGTGGGGGCTGCGGGGGTGGACAGAAAAGACACCATCTCTGCTCTGGAGGAGCTCGTGTTGGTAGGGGGACAAACTGTAAACACATGAACCAGTCAGAGTTGAGGGCTCCAGTCCAGCTCACCACTTAGCAGCCATGTGACATTTGGCATGTGCCACTGACCTCACTGAACCGCAGCTGGTGCATCTATCCAGTGAGACTGGAGCTGTCTGGAGGGGCGGTTTTAAGGCTTAGAGCGAAGGTGCGTCACCGCACGGGGGACACTCAGGAAGTGGCAGACACCGACGGTGAGGCAGCTCCCCTGGGTTCAGATCGTTTCCTGGCTACGGAGCAGGACAGAAAGGAAGGAAAGAGGACCTGCGGAACTTGTCAACAACCCAGTGGGGAGGATTGAGAGCTCCCGTGGCCCTTTCAGCAGGAAAGCTAGTCCGGTACCAGCTGCTTTTGCTGCCATCTCTAAAAACAAAAACAAAACAGGCAAAGTTGAGTTCAGCCTCAGTGTCTTCCGGAGTCAGGGGTGGGCGAGCAGAATGTGAGTGGCGATGGAATGAGAGGTCAAAGAAGAGATGCTCAGAGTTTCCAAGAGACTCTTCAGTTCCGAGTCTAGAGTCTAGTTTGGTTCAGATGCTCTGCAGAGATCGGGCCCTTGTCCCGTAGTGTGTACTTTACAAAAATGTGACAGGGTTCCTGTGACAGGTCGGTGCATCAGCCATGTCACAAGCGTTCATGAAACTGGATGCTGACATGAAGGGGTGGTAACCCTCGGTGCCTCACGAAGCTCCCACTCTGGCAGGGGAGCCACGTGCAGATCCCCCTGATGCCGTGTGATGAGGTGGGTATACGGTGTCCAGGAGTGTAGGCGGAAGAGGGATCAGCTTGGCCAGGAGATGTAGGGAACGTCACCGAAAAGATGGCGTGGGAGCTGACATTTATGTTAGGTTTTGAAGGATCACTAAGTTGCAGGAAAGACAGGCGCTGCCTGGCGGCGGGCAGGAGCTCTCGTTCCCAGAACTTCCGTTTTAATTCTTGCAGCCAGTAGACACGTGACCTTCTGATCGTCAGGAGGCTTTCCTCCTTGTCACAGAACGTGCATCACAGGCACCTTGTGCACAGTTGTAGAACAGAGCTGGTCTAAACATTGGCTAATTGGCTTTGAAATGCCACGTCATTTCTGAGGTTACTACAACCCAAACTATTAAAAGTGCATGGTGACATTAAGCAGCCGTCGTGAAGCTGCTGTATGACACCCCAGTGTAACACCGAGAAGCACTGAACTGTGATACACCATTTGTGTTGACTCGATGCCTTACAAAAATATGGACCATAATATAAAATGTCAGAGACCTGGAAAATCATACACAGACCGAGAAGATAAGACCAGGGAGAAAGTACAGAGAGCGTGCAACTGAAAGAGCCCAGAAAATATGTTGTGAAAAGGTAACTTTGGTGCTAAGTTTTCTAGAGGCGTAAGCAGGAACGACTTTCAAGCCCCTCCTGTCAGTTATCCTGGTCACATCAGTGGGGTTGACCGGTGTACTTTTCTCAATGGAGTAGAAAAAAGGTTTTCCTGTTCTGAAAAGAATTTTTTTTCACGTGGATCTACATGGAGGAGAGGTTTGGGGTGAAAGAATGGGGACCAAGGTGAAGCACAGATGAAACGGGAAATGTGGTTGTTAAAAGCTCAGGCTTTGAAGTCAAGACTGACCTAAATTCAGATTCTGGCTCCACGATTTGCTGACCATGATGTTAAGCGGAATTCTTACACATCAGTTTCCCAGTGTGTAAAATCAGGAGGTCGAAGTGCTGACTTCACGGGGTTGAATTGGGAGGACGCAGTGAAGTAAGACAGTGCAGCGTCTGGCACCGTTTCTGACACTCAGTACAGTGGCCACTGCAGTGAAGCAAGGAGGGTTCTCGGTCTGTGGCTGTGTCTTTTGTGTAAAGGAAACCAGGCCTGTCTTCCCATGGGTGTGATCTCAGAGATGCTCATGCTGCGTGTGCTTTTTGGAGCAGGCACTGTTAACCAGGATAAGGGGTTTCTGATAGAAAAGCAGAAAGGCAGTGCCTAGCAAACCGCCGGGGAGTGATGTGTCTGCTGGTGAGAAGTCAGCAACGCCATCCTCATCTCTGCCTGTCTTCTTTCTTGAAGGTGAACGATTCAAACTGTGACCAAGAACTCCTTTCCCTGCTCCTGGATGCCAAGCTCTTGGTGAAGTGTGTCTCCACTCCCTTCTATCCGCATCTCATCCAGCACCTGTTGGCCAGCCCCAGCAAGGGCGCTGGGATGCAGAGGAGCTGGCCAGACACCTGCGGGGGGCCGGCCATGAAGCCGAAGCTGGGTCACTCCTTCTGGCCGCCAGGGGCACCCATCAGGCCCTGTGGACCTTCAGCACCGCGCTCAGTGCAGGGCGGCACTGGGTGTGAGCGCCTTCTCGTGGCCACGCACAGCCCCCGGTCCCTCACTCCTGGTGGAAGAGAGCTCCCAGAGCCCAGTGCTGTCCCCAGAGGCAACATGTGTACCTACTGATTGTTTTCAGTGCGTCCAGCAAGTTGCAAATAAAGCTGTACATAAAGGATGAGCAAGCCACCATTTCTTCTGTCTTACAGTGACCAGTTAACATACCTTCTAAGAGAGACTTGACTCTTTCTTTTATTTATTTTTTTAATTTGTCTTTTCGGGTAGAATACAATTAATTTATTATCTAAAACTGTGTTAATTGTTCAGACCATTGGCGGTGGGAGGAGTGGGGCAGGTAGAGAGGGAGAGCAGTGGAGTGGTCAGTGGTTGGAGCTTGTGTCCCAGGATGGAGGAAGGATGGACCTGGATTCAAGCCTCAGGTTAGTTATGTGACTTTGGGCAAAGTGCGCCTTCTCTTGGAACCTTCATCTAACATGTGTAAAATGAGGGTTGTATTGTTCATCTCACTAGGTTGTTGACTGTTATGTGAGTCTGTGTGTGTGAGGCTCTGTCAGATACTTAGCAGGGGCCCAACATATGTTACCTCTTCTTCCCCCTCACTTGTGCAGAATTTCTCCAGCTGAAGCAGGGGCCCAGTGCCACTTGGCGGAGTGAGAATGGGGCATATGGGGTAGCTGAGCTGCAACAGCATTATCTTGTTGAACTGCAGGTATCTGGAAAGGCATTGTTAGTCCTACTATGCATGAAAAATGAGACTGAGAGAGCAGAAGTGGCCTGCTGGCAGGGCTCATAGCATTCACGCCCAGGCCATCTGACACCAAAGGCTCAGCCCAGCTCTGCTCAACCTGGAATCCAGTTTCCAGACAGCACATAAAGTGTGTTCCCCACGCAGGATGATGAGGACTGCTGTGCATAACTCGCTGATACTTGCTTCCACTGCAGGAGTGTGTGCTTGAAGGTGGACGTTCTGGCTGGAAGTCCTGGGCTTAGCTCTCGTGAAAGCCTCACATCAGATTCAAACCACAGCAGCAACCTAGGTAGCGGTTGACGGGGAAGGAGAGCAAACTGGGTGACTGAAGGACCGTCAGAGGGTCCATCAGATGCACCCTGGTCTTTACCTCGACCCCAAGAAAGGGAGGGCAAGAAGGTGGCTGTGTGTTCATAGAAATGTTCAGCTAGCTAATACCATCTAGGACAATCCTTTGTTACAAGAAATAGTTTTTAGTTTAAGTCATTTGGAAAGGCTGCCTCTGGTCAACGTCCGTATTGCTTTGTCAAAGCCGACGGCCTGAAGCTTACGTGGCTCACAGTGC